CATTCCTCTTGTGTGAGCTATGGCCTGCATCACAGTTAAGAACACAAACATTTCATGATCTGTCTCTGGAAATCAAATACCATACATGCCTGTGGTTGGTTGGGGTGTGTGGGGGGTATACTGTAGGCTATATGATTATTTTGTAATTATTTTTAATTACAAAGATAATTTAGTTCGTTTATCTGCACTGTACTATGAAGAGTCTCTTTAGCCATCGATAACACTTGACGTTGAGAACCGTTCATTTAGTTTCAGCGCAGTTACAGCGCCCTCTGGTGGCGGACCGAGAGTAGACGTTTATTACATTAGCGTTCCTTAACGTTCCTTAAAAAAATAAACGCTACAAATGAGTGAGTGATTCATGGAGCCTGATGTTATAATATAAATATAGGGAGGCAGTGGCCATGTTGAGGCATGATATCACACTTTATGGGATAAGTTGTAATTTCTCAGCATTTATAAATATATTATTATATAATATATAAATTCTATAAAACACATGTGAAGATAAAATTTGACATCTTACCCCAACAGTTAAATTATTTCAGTGTGGTTTTATTGTGTGCACTTGATTTTCAACAGCTATGACAATAATAATAAATATGATGATATTGTGATATTAGTTTGTTAGTCAAATTGATAAAAAAAAAATCTGATTTATGACGATAAAACGTAAAACAACTAAAACTCAACAATTAATCAATCAATCAACCACGGAGCCATTCATTAAGCATACAACGAATCTACATTATTTAGAACTATGATCATGTACCAGTAGAGGGCGCTATCACCAAAGCTCTATGGTCTCACTCTATCTATACTGCCTTCAAGTGGAGTTAACAGTATTAAGAATGCTTTTTAACGCCTTAAGACATGAGTGCATTTAAATAAGACTTAAGTAATTACTAATCTCTTAATTACTTAATTACAAAACAATTACTTCTAACACCTCATGTCACCTTCATTTATATTGCCTAGCGCTTAAAACAATATAGATTGTTTCAGAGCAGCTTTACAGCGATGATAGAAAATTACAGTTACAGAGATTGTTTCGGCGTAACAGCAGCTCTAGAATAAAGTTATCGTCCAGCTAAAGATAGTTTTGATTGATTCACTTCCGTTGAAAAGATCATTAGTTATTTACTTAAAGGAGTAGTTCACTTTAAAAAAAAGACATTTGCTGATGATTTACTCACCCCCCAAGATGTCCATGTCTTTCTTTCTTCAGTCGAAAAGAAATTAAGGTTTTTGATGAAAACATTCCAGGATTTTCTCCATATAATGGACTTCAGTCTGGGAACCAAACGATTCAAGGTCCAAAAGACACTTTCAGTACAAATTGCAAACTGTTCAAAGGGCTTTAAACGATTCCAGACGATGAATAAGGGTCTTATCTAGCGAAACGATCGCTCATTTAATAAATAATTAACAAAGTTTAAGTTTTATAAGCTCAAATGCTCGCCTTGCTCTGTTCTGTGATGCGCGTTCGTGACTCTCCTGTTCGAACTCGTTCATCAAAATGAGCGAACCTTTTTCCGAGTCAACTCGTTCATTTCGTTCGTTGAATGAACCAAATGACTCGGGGAAAATATTCGTTAATTTTAATTAACACAAACCTTGAAATGCGTTGCAATGTGCAAGCCTTTAAATAATAATAAAAAGTTTATCTCTGTGCAAACTTCAAAAACGCAAAGCTTTGAAAACGCTGAGGAGCTATGATTGTGAAAACAAGGACACTGTAATGTTACCAGATATAATGATTGTATTTAATTAAAATGACATCAGATCTTTAATCAAAATGATCAGTCAAATCAACAGTTGCCCAAAACATTTGTAAAAAATGCTATTAACAGCATTAGTTATTAGAATCCATACATTAACAATATCTTTGCATATAGTTTGAAATACAAGACAGAACACATAATCATTTTGTGCATAGATTATCGAATAAATAAACATGGCCAAAGCAACTGCAGACTCTTGTAACATTGAAATTCATGTTACTCTTATATTTCTGATAATACTTCGTCCTGTCTGTAAGATCACACAAGAGATCTGTCTATCTGGACACATCACAACAACGGGAGGAACACCATACTGACATCTTCTTCCCACATCTAAATAATCAACGCCACAAGAACAACTGAAGCATCGACCAGAGCTGCTCATCTTCTGGGTTTGACCATATTCTAGAGTTTTTACTGGAAATGCATGAGTGTTTAAAATGCTGGCCAAAAATATTCTACTGACCATCACATGAAACAAAGAAAAACACATATACACTGCAATGCCATAGAATATAGTATAAATGCATATAAAAAACATACATTTGTACAGAAGGATTTCTATTAAGATTTACAGTTAGATCATTTTGTTTCATTCAATGGTTCCATGCAGTAACGCGATAAAACGTGAAAATGGTTGTTGAATTTTATTGGCACCTTATATATAATTTTGTTAAATATATGTAATAAATGTTTCCATTTTATCACACACACATACTGTATATATGCGTCTTTGTAAAATGTAGAATGCAGACAAGAACATACACATAGATCAGGAACATAATGTATCTACATAATGTTAAACGAAGCAAAAATGACCCCGGTTATTAGTTGAATCATGACCTAAAGGATAGTTCACCCAAAAATAAAGTTCTGTCATCATTTCTTCACATCCTCATATCCAAACCGACATGCAAGGCAGAATGTTTAAGCTAAGGCATCTTAAAAACACCCTAAAGTGCTCCATACAACGCATGAACACTCTCAGGAAAAAAAAAAAAGGTACAAAAGCTGTCACTGGGGCTGTACCTTTTCAAAAAGTAAACTTTTGTCCATTTTAGGTACTAATATGTATATTTTAGGCACCAATATGTACAATGGCGCCACCAGGGGGTGGCCAGGGGTGGCCATGGCCACCCCTGGCCGACTCCTGGCCACCCCATTGGCCACCCCAATGGCCAGTATTAATTTTTGTAGCATCAGTTATGCATTTTATAAATAAGTCAAAAATATTCTTAAGTAAAAGAAGACGGGGAATTATGTGTCGTGACGTGCTTTTTAAGAGCCAAATGGTATACAGCAGCTTTTAGGTGTGTTTTTGCCACGTTTGGACAGGCAGGGATGCAAACAGCGCGCTTTTCGGCGCCTCCCGCTTTTTTCACGTCAGTTTGGCTGACAAAGTCATCTGAAGTCATTCCATAGCTTAATGTGAGGGACAGAAGTATATTTACATCATTAAAGTATAAACTCGTTTTCCCTCCTCTGCGGCTGTCATCATTCTCCATTCATATTCAAACAGCACGCGCGCCTCTTGGATGCACGGTAAAACTCTCTCCAATATGATATATTGACATTATAAATGCATGATCTGTAGATAAAAGTCTGTATATTCGCATAAAATTACTTTATTTTCTTGGAGTTGTTGCTGTTTTTAAGTTACTCACTACCGTGTTCTGTTAGATCACACATACATATCACAAGGATTATGAATCGGCATCAAACGCACAATAACTGTGAAACAAAGGAACAAATCGCACTTGGATTTGTGCGCTCAACATTTTTTCGATTTGTGACATGAGTTTTTAAATGCACACTTATGAAGCGCAGTGCTGCTGCACACTGTGACTCCATGTTGCTTTGAGCACATCATTCTGCACCCGCGATGTTTTTCATGTAATCATGCAAGAACGGGCTCAATCATGGGTTTGCGCACTGAAATATTATTAAAAGCCAATATATTTTGTTATACCTAGCCTGCTCAATACATTTTAAATAAGCATAATTTAATTGTATATAATTTATTTGTAGTTTAGGCTATGCACTTCTGAATTCTTGACATTAATATATAAATATAAAATTGTGACATGATTGCCTGATTGAATTTTAAAAGAGAACTAATAGTAATTTGTTTTTATTAACATATTTTGATTTTATAAAATTACTGTGCAGATTTTTTCAAGAATTACTTTTTGCTGCTGATGTATACACTCATTAAGTGTATTAAAAATTCATAATACATTTATGTAATATTTAAAGGTGTTAACTGTAATCTTACACTGCAAACTAATAACTTAAAAATGATTAAATTCATCACAATTATGTAAGTATCTGGAAATTTGCTGTGGGGCAAGGACCCTTATATATCATATAATATATATCATTATATACAATGTAATATATATTAGTTGGGCCCTACTAATATCATTAGTAACATTAAATATTACACAATAAACCAAAGTATATCAGTAAGAGTTTCCTTAAGTCTTTCTGATAGTTTTCTACAGGCTGGTTTATTACAACAGTAGAAAACAATTCTGAAATTATGGTTTATACTGTAGTTTTGGTGTGCCACCCCAAGATTTTAACTGGCCCCATCTGGCCACCCCTACGAAAAATTTCTGGAGGCGCCACTGAATATGTACATGTAGGTGCTAATATGGACATTTATTTGTTAATGTGTACATTATATGTACATTTTAAGTGCTAATATGTACATTTAGGTGCTAATCTGCACATTTTTGGCACCAATATGTACATGTAGGTGCAAATATGGATATTTATTTGTTAATATGTACATTGTAGGTTCTAATATCTACATTTTAGGTGCCAATATGTACATGTAAGTGCTAATATGGACATTAATTTGTTAATATGTACATTATAGGTTCTAATATCTACATTTTAGGTGCTAAAATGTACATGTAGGTTCTAATATGTGCATTTTAGGCGCCAATATGTACATTTTAGGTGCTAATATGTACATTTTAGGTGCCAATATGTACCATTAAGGTACCAATATGCACCCTTTAGGCACTGTGTATAATTATTTTATATATATAAATACAACACATGCTTGTATATATTTAAGAAATATTTCATGTGTATACTGTATATAGATTTATATATAATTTATATTATATAAATAATATTTTTTTTCTTAAATATACATGCATGTGTGTGTGTATTTATATATAAATACAAAATAATGATACACAGTGCACCCACATATATTATGTAAACACAAACTTTTATTTTATATGCGATGAATCGTTTGACAGCCCTAATAAAAAGCGCAACACTTTCGCTGATTCTTTCTCTTCTCACACGATGTAAATAACCCTGTTTTATTATTTCTCCTGCCTGCATATCGAATACGCCAGAGGGTGATGAAGACGTAGGTGTTGGTTTGTGTCTATGCGTGTCATTTTTGCCCCAAGCCCCTGTTCGTTTCCAACACTGAAGATTCTGCCAAACATGCAGGTTTAGGTCATTATTAGGTCTGTAAAAATGAAGAAAGAATTGTCATTTTTGGCTGAACTTTATCTTTAACACTTAGTGTCCATGGATGTTCTTGAGCCGTCTACCGGTTGAGCTTTCTTGGGACTTCGAGGATGCTTTCTGTGGTTTCTTTGAGAGATACTCTTCCAGGTCGTCATGGGAACGCCGGGAACCTTGGATACTCGCTCTGACTGAACCACTCCCCGGATTTGCTCCTTGTCTTCATCGGAGGAAGAGCTCATCTCCACCGTTGGCTCCGTGAACACAATCAGCTGATTTTTACGATGAGGGACTTCATCTGTCCCTTTCTCCTTCGTGAGTACAGTGACCGTCATCTGGGCCACGCTGTGGTGCAGAGAAGCGCTTCGGAGGAGCATGTTGGAGCGTGGCTGCACCATCTGGATCCCGCCTATAGGAATGGTGAGGCTGACACTGGGAATCATCACCTGGGGCTGGGAGTGCAGGGGCAGGTGACTTAACACACGCTGGCCTTCTTTCCTGGAGAGACGCCCATGTGGCAGAGGCATCATGTTGGTCCTTCTCTTAGGACTGTGTGTTTTCTCCTTGAGGGGAGCCAGAAAGACATGTTTTTTTTTTAGTGAAATCACCGAGTGACCACAAGTGCAGTCATCTTTATTCTAGGCAAAAGGACGTTATTTCTAAAGTGTGTGGTTTTTTGCAGCTAAAGATAGTCTTGGTTCTTCCCAAATCTAGTAGATGGTAAACAGATAAGTATGCATTCATCATTTCATGGGTTACTATCTAAGGCTTTGGCTTTAATTGTATGTAAAGACTCTATTTGTAATAAAGGTGCGACACAAAAATAACACAGTGTGCTTTTAGAATCGGGCTATTTGTGTTTGGATGTTTATCTTGGATATATTTGGGTGTCTTGTTTTCAGATTTTTTTGCACACAAATACATAAAAAACTCTATAAGTGGAGTAAAACAAACTTTGACAAAGAAAGAAGCATCTACATACTGTATTTAGCTATCAAGGCTAACAACCCACAATTTACTATTGAAACAAGGATGAATGGTTGTTAAAAGAGAGCATGGATCATTCGAAGAAAAATTCGAATACATAAATACTTCAATCAAATAATATGTTAAATATTATAAATTACTTGCTGAAAAAAAAAAAATTATATACTTCGGACCAACTTCAATTATTAGTTTTTCAAAAATGTTTTCTGTCTAAACTTTTTATAAAAAATATTTATTTTCCCACTGATAAAAATGGTTTTTATTATAAAGATCATCAATGTGTGATTTAGTTTCCTAAAGACTAAATGTATTTTTAGAAAAATGAATAAAAGCCACAGTCAGTAAAGCTAGCCGATATGTGAAAATACTATTTAAATCAGTTTTTCTTAAAAAAAAAAAAAAAAAAAAAAAAAAAAATTAAATGGGTGTAATTTGTTTCTAAGGGTAATAAAAGTGTAATTTGTTTTAGAGAAACTAAACAAAACGGGTTTAAATGGGAAACCATTATATATATATATATATATATATATATATATATATATATATGAAGAGTTCAGATGCAAAAGCCTCTAAATGCCATTTGAAATTCTCTTCTAGAATAATCATTTTTATCAAGCTTGTATATTTAAATTCAGTAATTTCACTTAAATGGCAATTCATAGGTAATCTTCATTGCCATTTAAGTGAAATTAACATTCTTGAAGAAAATTTCAAATGGCATTTAGAGGCTTTTGCATCTGAACTCTTCATACATATATATATATGAAGAGTTCAGATGCAAAAGCCTCTAAGCGCCATCATTTGAAATTTTCTTCTTTAATGATGATTTTTATCAAACTTGTATATTTAAGTTCAGTAATTTCACTTAAATAACAATTAATAGGTAATTATCATTGCCATTTAAGTGAAATCACTGAACTTCAATATACAAGCTTGATAAAAATTAACATTCTTGAAGAAAATTTCAAATGGCATTTAGAGGCTTTTACATCTGAACTTTTCATATATATATATATAATATAAAAATGCACTATATAAATGGCACGGACGGTCATTTAACCTTCTCAATGCTGGTTTAAACAGTCTTTTATGAGCATTCAGTCAGAAAGATGTCCATAAAGACACTTACCGGTTTGGTCTTGAGATTTAATCTGTTGGGTGAGGCTTTAGTAGACTCAGTTTGGTACTGAACCGTCACACTGGCCCCGACGGTCAGCGCAAGTGGACAGCTGTGAGGCGAAGGCTTTACGGGGGACGAGGCTCTAATGGGGGACGATGAGGCTGTGTGTTCAAAAGGAGACCGAGAGGGAACGCAAGATGATGGAAAGAGACTGTGTCTCGGAGAGGGACAGCGCAGAGGGGACATGTCACGCTGAGGAGACTGCGGTAAAGCAGGGGACATCTGCAGGCCAGGAGACGGGGACGAGCACGTCCCTGTGGTGGGTTCCAGGTGGCGAAGGGTTACTATAGACTTTGTGGTCTTCGGAGAGGCAGCTTCTCCATAGTGGCTTGGTTTTCGGGGGCTCATACTGACAGGCGGATTTGGATGTTGTTCCCAGCCTGGGTTTGGAAAGCCCGAGATGTCACAGGAGCCAGAATTATCCCTGGAGAGAGACGCACTCTTGGACGATGAAGAGGAGCATGATGCTTGCCCGTCACCCTCATCATCATCATCATCATCCTCGTCCACATCTGTCTCCTCTGCGTCTGAGAACTGGTGCTCCTCCACCAGATCCGTCTCAAGGTCACCTACAGCACAAGAGTCACTTACATTCAGTACGGTTAATTATGCTAATAAACAAAGAGAAATGCACTGAACTAATTGAAACACTAAGTAACTCTACTTAATCCAAATGCCACAGTAATTCATAGTAAATGCATCATTTATTTCCAAATGATCACAATAATCGATGAATCATATAATTTTCTCAAAGTCATATTTGCTAAAATGTATAATACTTTCAACAAACTACAGAGAACTACAAAAAGAAGTGATTGATAGACTAATACTTGATGATCCATGCACGTGGCTGCTGAAAATTCAGCTTTGCCATTACGGATATAAATTACATTTTAAAACATAGTTGTAATAATATTACTGTTTTAGTGTATTTGTGATTAAATAATACTAATAATAATAATAAGAAGAGACTTCTTACCTCCCTCATGTGTCTCAAGCTCACACTGAACTGGTCCTGGAGCAGTTCCCTCTGGACACCTCTTCCCATGAGCCTTTGACTTCATATGTTTGGTTAAATTCCCTGAAGAAAACAGTATGACAGCTTCAACATGGGAATGGAAACTTATTTATATCAAGTTGAGTACCCTGTGAGAGTACAGGTGTAGACTGTCCATGTAAACAACCTGTGATGTCATCGAACTAGTGATACAATAACATCTACTGTATTATTAACCTCTATTTTTGTTGTGTTGGCAAGATTTCTACTACAAGACAGGATCGTGATTAGTTTAACCCTCTGATGGTCCTTGGCCACTTCTGACCGAATCATTTCTGTTTTGAATTTTACAAAAATCCCAGCTTCATCGGAAGGTTATGATACTGGGTACATTTTGTGGCATTTGGTATGTGAATACAAAAAAAAATTGAGGTCATGATCCGAGCATGCTAAGTGGTCGTTAAAAAAATATACACACTCGTGGTCTTCGGTCAAAAATGACTGACCCATAGGAAATTATTATTTTAATAATTAAGTATTTTTTGTCTGTACAATCTACAAATTGGCCACGATTTTAAAAGAAAGTACACCGCAGTAAAATGTTGACACTCTACAACATCAAGAGTGCAAAAAATTTACACACACACACACACACACATTTTTATATACAGTACATACACACCAATAAATTCAGATTACAAAAAATCTGTTTTGAATTTTTTTAAATCACAGCTTCATCTGAATGTTACGAAACTTGGGGATATTTCTGACATCAGGGAAGTGAACACACACAAAAATTGAATTCATGATCCGAGCATGCTAAGTGTTCGTAAAAAAATTAGTCACAATTTTGGTCTTCGGTCAAAAATGACCCCCGTTAGGAAATGAATGGGAAATTGACAAAAACACAAAAATTCACCTATTTTTTTTCCACAATTTTTTCTAATAAGAAATTGTTTTTGAGATTGTTTCAAATATATATTCGAATCCACAAAAAAATGTACATACCATCTAGTGGTTACACCATGGTTCTACAGTTTTTCTCTTTACTGTAACCAGATGGTGCTAATTTTCTTCAATTTTTTTTTTCTGAAGGCCTAGACTCTATATTAAACTAAAATACTGCATTAATCATTTTTTGAAAAAAAAAAAATATATATATATATATATAGAAAAATATATATATTTCCATGGCAAAAATCAACCATAAATATTGCATAAATATTAATAAATTCAATCAAATTGTCTCAAAATACTAAATTAAAAATAATAAATATTATAAAACAAAAATAAATTGCATTAGTTTTTACTGGGATGGAGGAAGTTTAATTTTTATGTGTCCGGTCACTTCTGACCCAGGACGTGACTCCTAAACGAAGACCATCAGAGGGTTAAATTTGCTTCTTGCTATTGGGAGAGTGGCAGTCTTATCCCACAGTACATTTTATTTGACCAAATATTTACAATTGCCCCTGACTGTACATTTAAATGTGTATACCTGCTAAAAGTTCATCTTGTTTTTTAGGTGTACACTAGCGTATAATAGTTGGACTCAAAGTTAATATTAAGTGAATATTTTACTTTATCACTAATATGAATATAATATGGACAGACATGAACTAAAAGCCACAAATCTCCATTCATCCGTCGTGCAGCATACCTTTGGTTTTGAAGGCAAAGTTACAGTGCTGACAGACGTAAGGCCGATCGTCCGTGTGTAGTCGAATGTGTTTGCGCAGCATGCTGGGTTTCTTACAGCGTATTCCACACTCTTCACATACATATCGTCCTCTGCCCCGGCCACGGACATACACGTATTCCTCACTTGACCTGTATCTGGAAAAACACAACAAAAAAGCTGAAAGGATATGTTGTGTGAACATTCATAATGATCAGGAGTCACTGACAAATAACAGACTGACCCCAAAAATGTTGAAAAAATGTCAATAGTGCTATTTATCATAATGGAAATTGTGGCTTTCGAAGTCTAAAGGTAACAAAACAAGCACCTCATAAAATACAGTAAGTGATGAACCAAATGGAAACTTCATGGGCAAAGAAGATTAAAAAAAAAAAAACTAAACACAAATGCTGAATTACAAACATGTTCTATTCATTAAAAAATCATCTTGAGACATTAATGTACTGTATAATCACCGATGACAACCATGTGTTTAATTAGAAAATCAAACACACACATATATAAGTGCACTTTGCATTTAAATGAACTTTTGCAAAAATTTGACATACACTACAGTTGCACATACTGTAATGAAGTACACTTCTTTTTCACAAGGCAATCTCATTTGGGTTTGATTAAATAAAGACTTTGCCTGACTGAAATGCGATATCCGACTAGCACTATTTTTTAAACAAACAGAATGGAGCGGAAAAGCAGCACATGTAGGTTGTCATTGACACTGCAAGCTCTCAACATCACCTTTAGGTTAATTAAAATAGCAGCAAAGCAAAGCAAAGCCTCTGGGCTGGAATATGTGCATAAAGAGGCCTTTACAGTGATCTCACAGGTCTGTGTGGGAGATCTGATCTCAAATCTACAGTATAGCACCTGCATGGCATGCTTTTAAAGGTGCTCTAAAAACTTGGTATGCTTGGCACAGACCCTCTTTCAGACACCACGCATGCATATATATCCATACACACCCCCTCCGCCTACCCACAGACACACACACACACACACACATGGGTAGTCTGGCCTGTTTGTGTCCAGAAAGTCCCAAAACGGGGCCTCCACTTGACCTCAAACAGAGCTCCATTTATAATGTCAAGAACTAGGGCCCCCTCCCTTCGACCCCCATCAGCACCACCCCGGCTCAAACACGGGGATCTTGCAATGCCGCTCTGTGCCCACAGCCGGGCTTCTGTGCCAATGCAAACAGCTGAGAGGGGGGAACCCTAGAGCCAAACAGCAGTTCATAACCAATAACACCAGTACAAATCAAGACCTGTGTTGCCAGCTTTCTTAAAAATAACAGCATCATTTTTGAGAGATTTTTTTGAGTGGTTTAGCTTTTTAGATTTAGGCTGTGCCGCGATATATTCACAGTAACAGACTACCGTTCACCACCACAATTAATATGATCCAATGCCATTCTAAACATACCGGAATTCCAAAATTGGAAATTAAAGTGGGTCCAAAAGGCACTTCATTATTATATTATTTGATGAAAATGAGATTTTTCAGTCTCAATCATGTGGGATGAGTTATGCACTGACCTTTAATAACTAAATCTAAGTACGAGCCCTTTTGCGCCGACGTCACAGTTGCGTCACGGCGCTAGCTGGAGGCAAAACAAAGTGAAAACTGGAGGCGGCCAATACAAACCAGCACAGATTCGGCTGCATAATAAGGAGCTTAAATAATTGTTACTATTATTAAATGTCATCTTGTTGTGTTGTTTGGTGCAAGAATTGATGATTGATCTGGAACTTCTATTTCTAGAAAATATTCACATCATTAAAATCGCACTGTAATGTCACTCTTTACATTCTGGCTTGGCAGAACTGCGGATCGTACACACAAGTCTTGTACAGGACCATATAGGCATCTAAAGATTTATATGCCCTGTACGATCGGTTTCTCTGTAAGGTAGGTGTAGAAGTCAGGCCACTCACCCGAGGTAACGTAACGTACGTTAATCCTGTCAGATCGTCCATGCATTGAGTGAGCGTGTAGTCGGCTACGGGTCGGCCAATCTGGTTCCGTCCGTTAAAAATAACTTTTGGAAATAACAATCGCGGTCCTGGACACTGAGTGACCGTACACATTAAGATAATATCGGATTTTCTCCAGTCATTGTTAAAAAAACAAGCTAACAATCCTTGCTAACTAGCGTTAGTGAAGCGGCCAGAGGGATCGCTCTGCCTCCACCTAAGCTCCGCCCACAAAAAAACGTCACCATGTTTACCAACTGAAAAGGGTCTATTGACAACTTGTTATTGAAAGGTAAGACATGGCCCGAAGAAAGTGCATCAATCATGACATAAATATGTGAAAATTCATGACATATGCATTACGTGAGGATGAACTGTGCCGAAAACACACCTGAAATGCAATTCCCCCTTTTCCCAAACTTTCACTCAAAATCACTCCCCTCATACATCACGTAAAACCTCAGAGCTTCCATTTTAAGATGCACAAACCACCTTAACCACCTTCAGTGTTCTCATTCTGAAGAGACACAAATGTCTCCTAAACTAAAGACCACACTTGGAGAAACGGCACAGCCAAATTATGAGTAAATTGCATGGCTGTATTCTGTGTTACTTCAGAAGTGGTTGGTGGTTGTTTTAGGAAGACTTGTGTCTGTAAACTGTGGCTGTAATCGCAATCACGACAGACTACATAACCTTGAAGAATTACATTTCTTTCTATCAGTTGTCTGACTTCTTTTGTAGTTCATGGAAGTTCTCACTCGAGCTGAAAAAAAAAAATAAGCAATGAAAGCATAAAAAAATAAGCATTGAATGGCCAGTGGCTAGGCAGGAGCCTAACCCTAACCCTAACTGGTTGGAAAAAAACAAACAAAAAAAAAAAAACATTATACTGTACTTATCTTTTGCTGCTCATGTTCAAGTCCATTCATCCAATCGAACTACACCCAAATTATACATTAAATATGGGTTCAGTTTCAAAAAAGGTTAAAATGGCCACACTAGACTTAACCTTCCACTGTCTTTCATTCTGATGCATTTATATGCATTTATACATATGCGCGGGAGACCGGATACACAACCTAATGCAAATACGTTTTGTTGCAAACGTAAAAGTTATAGTTTTTGTGAACTCTGACCTGCAAATCCATACGACGAGACCAAAATTTGCGAACTGCATTTCCAATTCAGCTGTTCATGTAAATAATTGTGGCTTTTCTTGGGCCTATGGAGTTTTCAATAAATATATTATTTACTTTATTACTGTGTTTGGTTGCCACTTAGGTATTAAAACAAATCCAGCTGAAAACCACGTAGATGTTTGTTTTTCATTCATCTGAAAACACCTCAAAATGTGACTCTACTGCCTCTTGGCCATCTCCATATGCCTTCAGCTCAATGACCAAAATCATTGATGCAGTATGGTGTAAATGGGACTCTGTGGGGTTCCACAGGAAGTGACCGCCAGGCTAGGTAGTTTCCTGGCTCGGGCCGTGTAACAGACGGTCCGTGTTGGCTCGGACAGCCAACCGATCTCCTGCAGCGGGGCAAGAACAGCACTGCTCAAAATACTGACAGAAAGCCACCGCACATACAGTGTGAGCAGGATGCACGAACTACAAAGATTCTAGCTTTTCTTACATCGGTGTACAAGAATCAACAGCTAACATGACATCATCTTTGAAGTGTTAAATGGTTAAATAAATGCATGAGAGAAAAGAAAGAAGACCAAGCGTAATTCCGCATGCAAATAAATGCAAAATAGAACAAGAAGCACAAATAAGTATGCAAACCATACTTTGAAGTTTTATTTTTGAATGGCTAATGATGCAAGTCAATATTGATTAAGTTTAATTTGACATTTTTTACAAGTATAATGTTTACAAAAACAAAACTACTCCACTGAAGTATCTACAAAGGTATCTATGGAGGTTTAGGCTGAACTTCTTGCAGAAATGCATGAGCAAAATAAACCAATATCTATATCTATACAATGCTGCCTTGCAAACACAGTAGAGCCCGACCGATAAAGGATTTTGAAGGCCGATACCGATTCAAATATATTTGGGTTTTAAAATCCGATATATCGGCCGATATTTTTTTTTATTAAATATTGTTGGATTTCACACACGTGTAAAAGAAAAGCTCACTTTTCTGCACAAGATACGTTTGATACTTTTTCTCTCTGTCTAAATGTTCACTCCTCGCAAGTATAACTTACATTTTACAATGCAGGGACTGTAACTAGAGATATGCGAGTTATAAATACGGTAATCATTACTTTATTTAGGCAGAAAAAGTTCATTGTGGTTTCCAAGCTCATTAAGCGGTCTTTCACTGATGATAGTGGCATTAGCTAGCTTTGTGGTTAGCTAGTCTATGATGAGCCATAATTTAGCAATAGATAACATCATACTGCAAATTGTAAAACATACATTTTCAATATAACAGGCCAAGGAGAGATGATTGAAGCGTGTTTCGTCTGTTTTTATTTTATTTTTTAAATATTCATTTATCGGCCATTATGACTGCCGATACCGATATTTTGGAAAATGCTTAATATCGGCCTGGCTCTAAAACACAGTAAGAAATATTTGCATAAAAATTGTGTAAGGCATTCATTATGCTGTTACACTTTAAATTCATTGCATATAAACACAAGTGTTATGTATTATTATGACTTACCCTCCCTCACAAATCTGAACCCGTGAACTGTACTTGGAGGTAGATAGTTGGTCGTCCTTCTCCATTGCTGTTTTCTTTTCTACCTCTGTCAACTCAGCTTGCTGGGCTTCTTTCGGCTCTGTGGACTGAGTGGCACGTACCTACACTCGAGAGAGACACGGGCAAGTTCACCAACCCTATTCCAGGAGCCCAGGGAGACAGAGATGGGGGGGGGGGGGGGGGGTCTCATTCAACATTTTAAGTTGCCTTGTATACTTTTTATAAGTAAAATTTACAAGTTTACATTAACGCTGTCTTGTGAAGATTAAGATTAATCACATTTTAAAACTGTGGAGTGGGGACGGTAAGTCACTTACCTTTTGTATAATTTAAAACCCTCATATGCCTTAATACTGAGCTAAAAAACATACTCCCTTGATTTAATAATATCAAAGTCAGCAAGCATAACAGTTATTCTCAGTGGACAAGTGGTCAAGCTGGGAACATGGTAGCTGCCCAGCAAACAAATTTAGGTTCTGGGAACGTTAGTTTTTGGTTCCCAGAACGTTCCTAGAACTTTTCCGTAGGGTTAAAGCCGTGTTCACACTACATGATTTTAAAATGTCGGGCTGAACTGTGCGGTTCACACTATATGACTTGCTCTCAGTGAAATCAGGAGTGTTCAAGTCGTTGAGCTGTTCACACACACACACGACACAACATGATTGATCCACAACTCACTACACGAGCTGACAACGCACTACATAGAGATACAACCACGATCGGATGATAAAAGCAAATCATTTGTGACTCAATGAGAGCTGTTTCAGTACTATGGTACGGTCTAAATCCTGAAAATAATCAAATAAATAACAAGTCAACCAACGATCCTATCATGTCCACAAACCACGTTTTGTCACGAAAAAACATGCAATAAATAAATAAATATTGCGCCAATACCCAGCGAAGAAGAGAACACAACACGTGAATATGGACGTCAGACAGAAACTAGTGCTGCACACTGTTTGCGCAACGATCTGCTCTCCGGGAAAAAAATGCAAAAAAAAGAGAAAAACAAAGATTTACCTGGTGTCCTCAACCCATGCGTTGCTCTGATTGGCTGTACTCATGACATCACTGAGGTTGAGTCACGCGACGGCTCTGGATATCTAGCAGGCTAGATCTTGTTCTGGGCTCGGCGACGCGTCTGCGAGTGTTTTTGCTGCGTTGAGGGCTCTTTCACACTAACAGATTGGCAAGCGTTCATCGTCCGCTAATCCCCCACGCGATAACACCCTGACCTGTCGGCGAGCTCAATGATTTGCAAATCGGGCATAAATCGGGCTTAAAATCCTGTAGTGTGAACTTGGCTTAAGGGAA